ATGGCCACCCCTCCCAGCACCTCCTGCCCATTGGTGAACACAGGGAGGTCTTCACAGCTGCACAACTCAGGGCTTCTGGCTCCCTGTAATGCAGCACTTGAACCTGAGCCCTTGGTTTTCAGCAGCACAAAAGTCTTCGTGTGTTTGCCTGATTCAGTTTGAACACGTTTGTCCCCAGCACCCCAGCCTGCCGGCCGTCACCTCACCGCGCCTCACCTCTCGCTGCAGGGAAGGAGGATCCGGTCCCCGATGTACTGAGCACAGGACAGGGGATGGATGTCTCATCCCAGGCTCTGCCGTGGCACTAAGGGCTCATTCCCCAGGTGAGACACTAGATGGAGCATCTAACATCGCGAATACTTGGGTATTTCAATCCCGTGAAGGATAAATTGAAAAGCTAAATGAAAACACAGATTAAGTTGTAACCAGCAGCCCTTGCATCCCTGTTTGCTCATTGGACATGCGCCGCCTCAATAGCAGCAGGCAGGAGCGGCAGTGCCTGCGATGGGGCTCATCTGTAGTTCTTCCTGCAGAAACCCAGACCTCCAGCAGTCGCAGGCCCGGGTGCACACGAGGGGGACCGGGGATGCTCTGGTGGCCGCTCCTTTTGCGTTCTTCTAGGCCACTCCCAGGTTTCCCTTCAGCTGGGGAGGCAGCACCCTCTGATAACACCTCAGCTGTGAGCCGGCTCCGCTTGGCGAAGGCAAAGATAACGGGCTCAGGTTTTCTTGCTCCAGGAGAAGTTGAAGGTGTCTGATATTCCTGGGAAGCCTGTAGGTGAGCACTGCATTTCCCAGAGCAATTCCAGTGCCAGTGAGGATCACCACTGGTGTCTGTGCCTGATCGGCTCCTGGCAGCACCAGAAACTTGGCTAAAATTGTTCCTCGAAACTTCTTGGGCAGAGACACGGCTGGTGCAGTGCAAGGGGAGAGGAAAGGCCCTGCTCCCAATGGCTCAGCATCACCACGGGGTTAGGGATGGCCCCAAGAGACTGCTGAGAGATGCAGCTGCTGGTTGAGCATCTGCAACCAGCCACACACCCTGGGATCCGTCCAGGGCAGGGGGATCCTGCCCCAGGACCCGTCTGCCTCCAGCCTTCCGTGCCCTGCCTACTGGAGAAAGGCTTATGAAGGTCCTGTGGCGCATGAGGCGTGCAGGCTGCTGTGGCCCAGAAACCAGGGAAGGGCAGAGGAACTGCTACAGATCGTTCTTGTACGTTGGTTGTGACTGCAAGGAGCACGGGCCATTGCAGTGCGATCACAGGATGGCAGCCTGCAGGATACAGACCCAGAGCTCAGCTTGGAGAACTAAACTGCGGTCAGCATCACCTCCTTTTGCACCTCTGCTTTGCTTCAAGACTCCCAAAGCTGTTCACTTCCCACTGCTGGCAGCTGAACTAAAACCGGGTGTGACAAGGTGCCAAGGCAGTGGCACAGCATCCCCTGTCCTCACCCAGACTGCAGAACATTTTGCTTTGAGAACCAGAAGTGGTTGTGAGTCGCTAATGAAGTAACAAACTCGAAGTGTGGCTCTGACCTGCAGACCTCACCAGCACATGATGGGGTCCACTGAGCCCCAAGGGGGTTCCTGTGTTCCCTTGCAAGCCCTTTGGGGTGCGTTAGCACAAACTCCTCGGCTCCATCGCTTCCACTTGTGTGCGGGTTCACCGACACCCCAGTGACCCCAGCAAACCTACCAAGGGAGGGCGCTGCGACCCCTCGGTGCCATCACAGGCTGGGCTCATCTGGGTGTGAAAAGGTCAAGTGTGCTGCTCCCAGGGGTCTTCCTCCAGCCGTGCTGCGCAGTGTGGGCAGGGCAGCACAACAGGCACCCGCTGCACAGCAGGAACGGGCAGCGTTGGCTCACCTTAATTCGCAGGCTAGGAAGGGCTAAAAAAAACACAAGGAAAGAGAGCACGGTGCTGGAAACCAAGTTGTGTTGTCCACCTCTACAGCTACTGCTAAGGCCAGCACCCATACGTGTCTGCATTCACCCCCCATCTCCTTCAGGTGCTCACTAGTAGGCAGTATTTCAACATGGGAAGCATAAAATGCCTCAGCTTGGCAAAGACAGAAGTGAATGGAGGAAATTATTTGCTAAAGGGTCCCATCTTCTCCCATAGCTGTCCACACACACTACTGGTGTGGGGACAACACATATGACGTGGTTATTTACCATTTCTCACAATACAAGCACCAAAGGAAGTTATCAGGCAGCAGGTTAAACCAGAGGAAGGTTTATTCTGCCTGCTCGTACACAGTGTATACTGAAACTGTGGCAGCCCTGGCACAGCTCGCCCTAAGAGCAAATTATTGAACAAGGACTCAGACATCAGAAGAGAACTTATCAAGGGCAATTAAGCACAGTGACGACCCTCTCATTGGCTCAGGGAGTGCCTTGCTGGGAGCTGTGCTGGTGGGAGCTCTGGATGCCTGGTGCCTGTTGTGTTCCTGGACCATCTCTCTGGAGCATCAGTGGGGGCAGGCATCACCCTGCCTACCCCTGGCACACTCAGTGCGGGCATCTACACCGCCCCACATGTGCACTGGCACCATGCTGCTTTGCTCCAGCCCAGCAGCTGCTCTTCCCCAAGCTGGTACTTCCCCTCATTTCCCGGCACACACAAGAAACGCAGGTTTTCTTGAGACTTTCCCTCAACCACAGCACGTATCTGGAAGCCCCAGCTAACAGTGACATCAAACTGGTCTGTGCTCGCCCCGCTGCAGCAGCTCTGGGGGGGGAACTTCCCTGTGGTTCATGGTGTCCCCGCGCTTCCCTACGGGCTGGGGTGGGTCCCTGACAGTGCTGTGCACTGGGACCACTCCCTGGGCTTGGGCTGCCCTCACAGGCACTGAGTGCGAAGGAGCTCCTTGTGTGGAGCCAAGGCTGGTGCAGCAAACAGCCTCAGACACACACACGGTGCCACTCACCTGGGACCCCCAGAGATGGGGAAGGGCTCTCTGCACATGCTCCCCTAGGACCGCAGAGCTAAGCCATGATATGGGATATCAGGTGGCCCTGGCCTTGCAGCCAGGATGTGCTGTGCGAGGGCAGTGCCAGTTCTGACCTACACAAAACCAGATGGTTTTCTCATCTGTGAAGACCAGGAGAGTAAGAGCACTTGGACAGCACTTGCTGTGGTAAAGAGCTCAAAGGCCACCAGGTTTTGGGGGGCTTCTTGGACCCATCAAGTCACAGAGTACACATTAAGTTTACTTGGTGATTGCAAAATTACTAGCTAGCATCTGACTCTAAAATCTTACTCATGGTTGTGCTGGGAAGAATGGGGCCATTTTCACATCCCAGCTCCAGCCGGCAGCACTGGTGGGAAAAAATGCTGCTCTGAGATGCAAATGGAGCAAATTTGCTGCAGAAGCCACTGGCTAAGCATGGATGTTATCCCCTCCAAAGCCATTCCTCCAGTCAGCCTCACCACAGCCACACTTTAATGTGAGCACACTGCAAAAATAGAGGGGCACTGACTGAAGATCTTGTCTCTTCCTCCGTTAGGAAATTGCAGACTTCCATTTCTTTAATCTAACCATTTGCAGGCGGAGATACTTTCTCCAGAAAAGCCAATATAAGAGGGCTGAAAGGTCGGATGGGATAATATGTAATCCATTGCGATAAGGGCTGTTTACAGAATTATTAATCAAACGCAAAAAGGAACAGATAGTAACATTTTTTATTAAATATTACAGTGGATCAAAAAGTACAAAATATCTTTTGCCTGCTATGTGATTGGGAAACTATTGGCACATAATACAGTATCAAAAGCATTAATAAGTACAATTTGGAAAACATACAAAAATTGAGTGTTTATAGTTGGCTCAGCTTTATTTCTGGTAGTGTTTAAACTAACGCAAAGGTTACTCAATAACCTTTTAAATGGGAAACTATATAATATTACTGGGCCATTTTTATATATACAAATCATCACCTTACAGAGCATATAGGCTACATAACTTGAATCACAAAAAGTATACAATATTTACAACAAAAGAAAGTTAAAAAAGTATAAACAGCTAGTAGATTATGCTGCATTAGAACATATTTAAAACTGCGGGGCTGGGGGGAGAGGGGAGGAGGAGGAAGAGAACGAGTGAAATATCCACCACACGTACAGCAAACACCCAGGGCATGCTCACGGCAGCACTGCCCATGCTGCCCCTTCACACCAGTGCACGAAGTCCCCTTCAGCATTAAAACCACAACACATGCACAGTCGGGCCAGCCGTGACCTCCTTCACTGGCCACTGCAAGGGAAGGGACTGGGGGGACGGGACCCCAGAGGTGCCCTAGGAGGCAGCAGTCCTGCTGCCCCAGACAGGCTGCAGGTGCCAGCGGGGATGGGCACAGCACTTGCCCCTGCACTAGCTCCGGGCGCTGCCAAGATGACCTCTGCAGCCTCGACTGTTTTCTAAGCGTGGATGCAGCAGGGGGACGTCTCAAGCCAGGCTGGCAGGACAGACCTGCTGCAAAGCACAGCTTGTTCCCGCCCAGCCCAGTGAGGGGGCTGGTTTTTACTGGGAGCTGGACCCTACTTCCTACGTGCTCCACGAGGTCTGGCTCAGTGTGTGGCCAGAAGCTACACGGGAGCTGACTGCTGCCGGGCCTTTTCCTTTGAATCTCATAACCTTCAGCATCCCTAATGAATCCTGGACATAGTGCGTCTGAATTGCAACATTTCTTGGAACTGGCTCCTGGTAAATAGATTTATGACTCTATTACCAATTAGATTCCACTGTTTCCTTTACAAACTTACCAATAACAATGGTTTGATTGCACAAAGAAAAGCTTGTGCAATTTCATTCAATAATAAGGCCCCTTGAACTCAAACAATGCAAACAAAGCCCCATTTAAGACATTAAAAAAAAAAAGGACTTTTCAGCCAATAGGGAATTCAATAGTCTTTTGAAAGATTTCCAAGATTTCTGTTAAAAGTTTTTAAACAAATAATGGTTCTGCTGGGGTTTACGCTATCATTTCTTTTCCATCGCCCTTACTATTCGCACAGTATATGATGAGCTTCCCCAGCCAGCAGCTGGCAGCTTCCTCATGGGGCAAGCAAGGATCCTTCCCTCCCTCTCTCTGTCCCCCAGCCCTGCGCTGCCCCAGCACAGCTCCAAAAAGCCTACCATGGAACTCCAACGGGATGTGACCAAAAGGGAAATCAGACAATTCGCATAAACAAATGCACGATTCCAGGACACACAACCAGAAGACGGAAGAGAAGTGTCTGCTTTGCCAAACACACAACAAGCTTCTGTTTGCATTTGCTGTAGATTTCGATATTCTCTCCCCTTCCCCCCGCCCTCTTCCTCCCTACCCCCAAACCCCTGATTCTCACATGATTAAGATCTAGTGCAACTTTACTACAGATGTCCTCCACACTGTGGCCTCTGCCTGGATGAGCCTGTGGTTCTGTTTCCTGTACGATTTGTGGAGCAGCAGGATGCTCTGCACTGGTACATCCATGTTCTAAGTTCTACTAGTCTGTTTATTGATCATTTAAATATAGCTTTACCACAGGAATATAAAGTATTTAATTGAAGAAGCTGGATCTTTAACAGTAGATGAGTATATTATTCTGGTTTCCACCTTTGGATATTAAATATGATACATTATATATTGTATTTGGCTTCATATCACGGGAAAATTTAATGACATGCCTAGCATGCAAAGTGTTTCTTAGTAGTTTCCATTTTTCTTTTCATATTGATTATGCTGTCTTTGAACAGTAACTGAGATGGTTTGAATCACAACCAATTTTCACATTCTAAAAAGCCTCCAGGTCACACTTTGCTTTATCAATGTCTGTGCTTGGCTGCATTGTGGTGATGTCCTGCAAAGTGAATATACAGCCGTAGGGAAGCTCTTTCTTTAGGAAAACTCAGCCCTTACACACCCAGGCTTTCCCCCTGTAAACGGATGCCCAGGGAGAGGCTGAGATACCCTTGGGGGTGTGAAAGGTCCATCCCAACCACTGCATGCAATCTCCTACCCATCCTACCCCAGCCTGCTCGTGAGGCACAGGACCCGTAAGCTTCTGACCCAAATCAGCCCTGGCCCCTGTCCCGATTTCTGAAATTCTCGACATTCTCACAAACCACAAATCCATTTTCTGGGCTCTTTTGTCATCCAGCAGCTCGTGCCAGGGAGGTTTTGTTTTCTAGACCGTTTCTCTGGTAGGCAGGAAGGTTTCACAGCCTAGGTAAGGTTAAGTACAACACTCGACAAATTCATGGACCACGATACGGGAAAGCAAAACTCAGTGGGAGGGGAGAAGCGGTGTGGGAGCCATCACAACTATGGGAGGAGGGCAAGAGGTGCTCTGCACCTCACAGGGGCAGATCGTGGGGAAAGGAACCTTGTTGGCACCCTTGCACCATAACATTACCTACAGTATGTTTATAGCCATTAAGATTAATCTTAACCAGTTGCTTCAGTTTGTAAACAGTAAACGTTACCACAAAAACAAAACAAAAATGCTGCTCGAAAGTATAAAGAAACTGGAAAAATTACAGACACATAAAGGAAAAAAAAATAGGACAGCCACAGCCTTAAAAAAAGTTGCAGATAAAATGATACTGTTTAATTTAAAAAAAAAAAAAAGAAGAAAAGAAACCAAAAACAAAAAACCAAACATAAAGAGCACAGAATATACTGGACAAACAGAACTATATAAATTACTGTGACCAAATGTGACACTGGTAGTTTACGAAGTGGATATGTACAGTCAAACTGAACAGTGTTTACCCTTCTGTTCTAATAGTGTCAAAATGAAGAATCTATTGCCGTTTTACTATACATTGCATTGATTGAATCTTTAAAAGTCAGGAAAAGTTACCCAAAAAAGCACATCCACTGATTTTATGGATTCTCGGCCCACTTCTCCTTTCCAGGTTCATTTCAAGTCCTTGAGTCATTGGCAACAGCGCATGGCCTCTGGTCCTCGGCTCAGTGAAAGGCAAACACAGCCCTTGCATGGGACTTCAGTGAGCTCAGGACTGGGCCTGCATTTCCACGGCTCCCTTTGAACATCTGCTCTTACCATATACAAGTCCTTTCAGAAAACACATATGCAAGATCCAATGGTTTTTTTTCTCCCTTTTTTTTTTTTGTTTTTGTTGTTGGTTTTCTTTCTCTGGGGCAGGGATAAAGGGTGAGGGGACTGATGTGGGAGCCAGATTTAAAGAAGCAGTCCTGTCTCCATCAAACGCTGAAGCGCTCCTCTAGGCAAGACACGACTGCATCCTGGTTGACAAAAATACAGATTGCTAAGTCTGCGAGGCATCGTCACAGGGGGAGGAATGTCACTAACTTAACTTTTCTCCTCAGACCTTCTTTTGTGAGCGAGGCGACTTACAGTTTTGTGCTGGGGTGTACAGAGGATAGCTGGGAAGGTGGGAACGCGGCTTGAGGGTTTATAGCAGCTAAAGGATAAATGCTGTTATGCAAAAGGTCACCGTAGGAACTTCCTACAGGTGTTGCTGCAGCTAAGTGTCTGTACAGTTGCTGAGAGTTTGCAGGGGATGTGAGGAATTGTCTCTGCACCATGAAGGAATGAAGAGCCAAAGGCTGCATTAGTGGGGAGAGCACGGTCTGATTTTTCAAGTACTGGAGGGGATGAGAATACCCAGGCGGGAGGCGATTGTTCAGCCCTGTGCACAGGCTTCCCGGATACAAGCCTGGGAAGATGGGGGCTGAAAGGGGATATTTGTGGCTTTCCAGCATGCTGCCAGAATGGAGGCCATGCACCGGCTTGCTGCCTTCCCCCTCTGGGTCGGGAACCTTGTCTTTCGCTGCGGTCTCCTTTGGTAAGTGCAGAGGAGAGACAGCTCGGATTTTTTTTTCAGAAATGACTTTGTCCAAATCCTCCAGGCTCCGTTTCAAAGGCCGGGCAGCCCCCACGTTTTGAGGGCTCGTTCTGCGGCTGATGATAGGATGCACCATCCCCTCTATCTTCCTCAGATTCTCCAGCCTCTGGGCCTGCTGCTTCCCAGACCTGTGGAGCAACTCACTGTGTTTCTTCGAGGCTGTCATGGCCATGGGGGACACACGGCAAGCTTTGGGACTACAGTCTAGGCTCACCGCCTGGCTGCTCGCAGACTGGAAAGGGGAGATACCTTTGCCTTCTTGCTGGGCCATGGATGAATGAGGCAGGCTGGAGCCCAGAGCCTTTGCAGTCTGTTTGTGTATGCTCTTTGGAAGACTCAAATCTGTTGGCTGATCATCTGAAGAGGCTTCCACTGCTGTCTTTTTTTCTTGCTGATGCAAAGATGGGCGATAATTTAAATTTAGTTTTTCTGGGTGTTTGTGTTGAGTAAAAGTAGAAATATTTTCAGACTCTCTGAACATGTCCCGGGGGAGGTACTTTGATGTCTGTTCATTATTAAGGTGGTGTTCTGTGTGCCTATAAAGGCTGTGCAGATGAGGTGATGAATAAAAATCTGCCAAAAAAGTGGGCACATGGGAGTGCTGCAGTCCCCTTTTCTCACTCATTTTATCTTTGCAGTCCTGGACATCTGTCTTCGGTACGTATGACTCGGCAAGAGAACTGAGGTGATGTTTTGAAAAATCACAGCGCTGAGGATCTGGTTTACTTAGCATGTCATGTTTAAAAACATCATTAATTGATTTCCTTTCTTCCTTGGTTTTAAAACTCTGTACATGCTGTATGACTGAGGGCCTATTAATTGCTACAGGATCAGAATTAGGGGCATGGGGACCTTGCGACATGCTTGAGGACAGTTCATCTCTGCTGTTCAGTTTCTTTTTGCTGATCAAAGGTGGAGGAGAACCGTAAGGATAGCTGCATGACAGAGCTGCCCCACTGACCTGAGACAGCAGCTTCTTCTTTGCCAGGGGTGACATGATGCCTGGATTACCCTTTGAGTAAAGCAGCGGTGTGTAACCAAAAGTGGAGTCATCGTTCATTGACCCAGGCAGCTCTTTTTCCTTGAACATGTCAAAGTTCTGCACCACCAGTACTTTGGGTGTTTGCTTTAGAGCATTGTGGATATCTTCATTTCCCAGCTGGTCCACTTTCACTGTGCAGTTTGCGATGTAATCGGCCATCTCTGGCAATTTGTCATCTTCCATGTCGCTCTGAGTGGGCAGCTGGACTGGGAAAGCTGTGAAGGGCATTTCTGCAGGTTCGTTTTCTAAGCTGTCAGTAAAAGCTTTGTGTAGTCTTTGTTCAGGCTTTTTGTCCTCCAGGGCATCTGGTGGGGGGTGTAATCGCTTTGTGATGGTGGCATCCAGAACAGTGTCTTCTTCTGGGGGCATGGATGTACTTGAGAAAGAGGACGAGTGCTGAACCTCCTCCTTAGTTTTTTCATTGTTCGTGCTGTTTTCTGTCAGGTCTGTCTTTTCCAGGGGCAGTGGCCGAGCTGTCTCTGGTAAAAGAGACGGAGGGCCATGCACAGGTTGTTTCATCTCTCCCACTGTAGGGTGTTCAGGGAAATTTTTCTGGTCTGCTGATTCTTGATCCTTCTCTTGTTCTGATGAAACCTAATAAAATGATTCAACAGACAATAATAAGAATGTGGTGCATTTTGGCAGACTGTTCATAAGATTATACACAGTACACCACTGGCTACTTTTAGAGGAATACTTGTCAATCACCCTGCTGCAATGTGAAGGCTCTAATGCCAGGTATTGGATTCAAACAAAGAGATGTACCTCCTGGAAATATTAAGAAATACACCACCCCTGTCAGGGTCACAATAACACATTTCAGAACAGCAGATGTTTGTAACCTGATGAGCTTGAGCAGACAGCTAAACATTGAGGTTCTATTCTTTTAAAATTAATTAGGGAAATGCAGGAGAGCAGATTTCAGAACACAAACGATAAAGCTGTAGAAATTTATCCCACTAGCCAACTTCACCTATGAAAATTACATGATTCCCATGTTTTTTCTTACATAAAGTCTCTCCAGCATAGCTATCTTAAAATTCAGTAATCACAGAGGAGATCATTCACACCCAGTTCTGCATTAAAGTGTGAAAATGATAGAAATGGCATACTAGGAATTCCTATTGTAGGCAGCAAATCACTGCCACAGCTTAACTAGGACACACATTTTTTTATTAACAGATTAAAATGAAGTCGTCAACATTCAGTAAGTGTGTGTGCCTGCTATTACAAACATGGCTTTTATACATTATCGTCAATGGGACCGCAGCTCTTTCTGCTCCCCCATTAATAAAGCTTGTGTGCACAATTCACACTATTCATCCCATTATGTAGCTGGCTGAACTGTGACCCGCAGAGGTCACCAGAGCGTCCCATCTGTGATCCGGCTGACTGACAGACCTTTTCAAAACTGCTGTCGCTCTCCTCTGACAGGTTGTGGCAGAAGACAGTCATAAAACAGCAGCATTGTGTGAGTCCTTTATTATTATTGTTTTCTTTCTTTCTTCCTTGTAAAGATAAGATGCATTGAGAAAGTTATTATCTAAATGCTGCTTTATGGTCTGTCACAAGAGCGGGGGATCGGAGAAGGTCCTAACGAATCTAACTCTCTCAGAGATTTATTTCTTCACAGCTGCTTTTAAATATTCTTGTCTGTTTGGTTGGCCTATTAGTTACAATGTCTGTTAGTCATCCTAACTTCTTTTTAAACTCATAGCTGCCTTTTGCAGCCAAACACCATCATTAGGTCCTTTACAAAGTACCATCGCTAGTCTCTCGAGCTTATAAAATTACAAGGAAAATACCAGACAGATGAGCAAAGCAAGGAGAAGAAAAAAAAAGAGAAATCGTATTTAATAACTGTACATTCTCCTCTTTGTTTCTGTTAAGCAACATTTTGATTGAAGTTTCAGCTATTCTGAGGAAATGTGCAGTCTAAGGCTAATAGCATTTTGTCTGGTATCTCGTTACATTGACAATGTCATTGTGATGGCAGGAAAACAGTGAAGAGCACAAAAGCAAATGCAACCCTAATAAATTAAAGTTCTATTTTCTCTCTGCAGATTTCTTAACAGTGTATAAATTGAGCATGCAATTGAGAGGAAAACACATTTTTGTAACTTGATTACTCTTTTATAGCTCATGGCTATAGCCAGCTTCTAGGTCACATGCAGAAAATGGCCTAAATGGTAGCTTGGGTGGAGCCATACATGTATGGCTATAGAGGCTCCCTGTGAGCAACACACCACCACTGTTATGCCTGGATGAGGACTGCACCCAAATGTGGAGCCTGGCACGTGGCTCCACTGTTGGGGGTCTGCTGGGGTGAGAGCAACATACAACCTGCCTGGCTCTAGCAGACTTGGATTTTGCTCCACCCAATGAAGCTGAATGTCTCCTTTCTGATGGCCCCATAAGGGCCATGTTCTGGGCAGGAAGCCCTCCCTGTGGCACAGCACACATGAGCTCTGCAGCCCTGCACTCACCCTGGGTGGAAGCAGCCACCCCTGCAGGCCCCTTTGCTGCTTGGATGTCATGTCACCATCTACCTATCTGGCGACGTGTGTGAAAACTGAGGTCCTTAATAGCCCACCCTCACTAAAGAGGGGCAGGACACGTCTTACATCCCAGTTAGGGAAGAGACGTGAATTCTGCTATAAAAGGCACCATTTTTACAATAGGAAACTGCTGTAATTGTACATTTTTATTGTCTCGTCTAGGCTCCCTACATTTCCGATAAGCACAGCTTAAGAGCGCTTCCTGCAAACCACACAAAAATAACTGCAGTTTAAGCAGCAGGAAGTTTGAGATAGGGAACAACAAAACCAAGGAAATTCAAAGTTAAGGCTGATGCTCTGTTGCTGATTTGTTACGTTGTGCTTAGCAGCGGCAGTATGGACAGTGTGCAATGTATCGTGCTGAACCAAGACCTCTCATAAATAACTGGGCACAAAGAAATGACAGGGAAAGGGAGGACAAGTCTTCAGTGTACATCTCCTTGCTTTGGGAAATTTGTGTTGCAACCTTCCAGTCACTGACGCAGGTTTGTGCACACTTTCTATGTATTTTTCTTCAGAATTTGGTAGGTTTTCCCCCAACAGGATTCCTTGCTTCAGAATTACAGTGCAAGAGAAACTAAAATACCTCCCCTCTCTGTGGAATGTTCTTACACTAGATATTAAAGGTACTGTTGATCAAGGCAATTTAAAACACAAATTTTGGTTTGGACAGGAGTTGAAATTGTAAGCACAACTTAAAGAGGTGGTGGAACTCGAAAATAAAAATCTCCTGTTCTCAAAACTGGGTACACAAAGTCTCTGCGGCATCCACGTTTACTGGTCCTGCACTGGTTTTGTTTTTTAAACAATGAGGAGGAGGATTGCTGGTAGCTGACCCAATACTAAACTGGTTTAGGTACAGGACTTACGTACCTGCCAGACAGCAATGAAGTCAAAGGAGCAGCCATAGTCTGCTAGGCATGTCACGTGTTTCGATATTCTTTAAGTTATTTACTTTCATTGCAACGCCTTGAAGGCAGCTGTGATCTGGCAGACTGAGATAGGAAAAGCAATGTCTTGTGTAGGGGTTGTGTGTGAGGAACTTCACTGTCTTGTTCACGCAGGGCGCAAGCAGGGCACAGGAGAGTGGGCAGGATGTGCAAAAGAAAGTGCTTAAGTAATACCATAGTAAAACCTCCACTGATTTATATCACTTAACATATGAAATTTAACCTTTTGCAGATAAATATGAATTCTACTGATCTCTCTTACTGTGAATATAAAACCTCTTCTATTAAGGGCTGTCCTATGTCTGTACGTAACATGGCTTTATGGAGAAACCAGGGCCTGACCAGGTGAAGCCGGTGATAGACTAGGAACCTATCTCAGCTGAAAACCATCTGTGGCATGTGACAGGGAAGTTGGTCTGACGTAGGGCTTGGGAAGGTGGTTCCCTCAAACTCTGACCTTTTAGACTAAAGAGAAATTTAGCACATCATGATAAAAATCCTGGGAAGTCACATGTTTTTTGACAGACACGCATACATCTGTGAGCACAGAAGGACTGATCTAGAGGTTACCATTACAAAAACCAGCTGTGTCCAACAGTTACCACAGTATTATCAACAGTATTAGAGGTTCCCGTACCCTATACTTAGATTAGGAAATAACTGTGGTAGTTGTGTGGTTTCCTTTTGGCAGCTGCTGATCTTTTAGTGGTGACCACTGTATAACACAATGAGCAGAAATGGTACTTGTTACATTCAGTGCTTGGTATTCTGCCATCACTGCTGTGCAGTATGGAGCTAACCGGTTGCCGTCTGTAGGCCAGCAAAATCCCAACACAGACAATACAACAACAATTGAACTTCTGAGCAAACTCAAAGGCCAACTGGCTGGAATTCTCCAGTTTAAATTATGTATTTTATCATTGGATTTCACGTGATTAAAGCTGCACATTTTTAATTGAAAAGGTGAAAAGCAGGAAAGCAACCAACCTCAGGTGCATCTTGGGGCTTCTGTGCATTATCTTTTTCCTTCTTGCTCTTTTGGTTTTCATTTTTGATGCGTTTTGTTCCAGACACTTTTGTTTTCACTTCACTCTCCTGGGAACAGTTATCCTGTTTTCGAGGTTTCACTGGAGGCAGTGGCTTATCTTCCTCTCCTTTAATAAATCTTTCATATGGCAGGATTAATCTAGGGGATTAAGGAACAAATAATTGATCAGGGTTTGTCATTCTAGCAAAGAACAAAATATATCTACTACGAGCAGTTTACTTAATAAATCCATTTTCTTCCATACCATAAAAGCAATGGTGTAAACTGTGCATCTGTAAATCCAAGTATGATAAATCAATTTATTTGGCAAGATTATCATGTGGCATAAATTCAGTGGAGTTGGTGTGGATTGGCTGTCAGTAATGCTGCAGTGGTTTGTGTGGCTACACCAATTTGTACCAGATGAGAATATGAACCACTATGTTTTAGACTGATTTAAAAAAAAATCCGCCATTTATTTTTATTTTCCCTCCTTACGCTTAAAAGCATGCAACAAACGCCAGGAAAACACTGACAAAGCCACAGCCAAGCTGATAACAGCTACACAATTTCCAGGCTGGTGGTTCCCCTGAGTGCAAAGCCGAGTGTGAGGAACTTGGCAGAAGATGAGAGTAGGGCTGCAGGAAACCTACAGTGGTGGGCACAACACCCAGCAAGTTGCAGTCAGCACCAGCCCACTGCCACCACTGCAATGCACCCATACGGTGACAGTCACCACGCTCCCTGCCTTCTCCCGTGAGTCATTTTTGAAGAACAAGGGGAGAGGAAAAGAGTTAAAAGAGATGGATTTTTTCACTGTGTATCTGTCCACCACAAAATGAACAAAATTGCTTTTAAAAAGCAAGTAAGAAACAAACACAAAAACATCCTCCCCTGAAAGCACCAAACACACTGAGTTTTAATCTATCTGTTTTCCCTTTGCAATCTTGATCTGAAAGGGAGAAAAAAAAGGATATAATTAAAAGGGATGGATTGCATTACAATCTCAGTTTCAACTTCAGTGATTAAAGTTTTTATAATGTGTTTGGTATGATTAATGACTCACTGTGGGATTAATACAAGACTCAGACTTTTAAAATACAAACTTTAATACAGCAAACATAATTTGTTAAAAAAAAAAAAACGTTGACTGTATGAAGAAAATGTACTTTGCTTATAAACAACATAAATCTGTTCAAATACCAGGAATCCTTAATTATCTTTAATCTAAGACTCCAAGGCAAAAAACCTCTTTGGTTCAGATATTCATTTGTTATCCTAGAATCAGCTTCTAAGCATGCAATTTTGATTTACATACTTAGATGTTCAAACACAGTTTGGGCTTAGGAGAGCAGAAATTAGATTGTTCGTGATCATAATATTTTACATTTTAATAAAATACAACATAAATTATGTTAAAATATAAACCTAATTTATGCTATATTAGAAACAAAATTCATTAACTGAGCATGCTCTGACATGGTATGTGCAAAGAGGCGTGAATAATACTTTCTAGCCCTGAATTTGGCAGGACTCCAGTAATGAAGCTAAGCAGAGCCCACAGGGAATATTCATCTTCAGATCCCATTACAAACTGAGTTTAAACATGTTACAGCTGCTAAAACTGGAAACTGCTCCCTCTATGCAAACTTAGCAAAATAATACGTAGTTGCCAAATACCTGCTTCCCACTGTAATATTACAGTTAATGTTTATATAATAAAAAGCATAACTAAGCAGAATAAGGAAAAAAAAAATCCTGTTCATACTTGAGGCTGCTGCATTTCATTTGCAATATTGGTGAAAACACTGAATTCCTCCCTGCACTGCACAAAGCACTTTGGACTTCACTAGAGACAGGGTTGGGTTTCACACAGGGCAATGTCGAGGCTGCTCTGCCATGTGTTAAATATTTAAAATTGCTTTTAATAAAAACACATTTTATTATAATAATTGTTAGCACTGCAAGGGGAGTGTTTGACTTTGTTTTGTTTCCATGGGAACACGTTGCCCATTAAAAATCTACATATTCCACCCGTAAAGGTTTCAGACACTGTCCCGTGCCCCATGGGAGATGGAGACGCTCCTGGTCCACGAGTGGGCCTTTCCCTCAATGATGCCATGTGATTAACCCCATGGCTACAGCCAGGACGGGAGCAAGGCCCAGGCCAACATGATTAATCACTGCTCATGTGCTCTTTGCCGAGCCTTGTAGGGTAACGCGGGAAGCAAACCCCTCCTCCTCCTGCTACACCTCACCAAAACTCATTAGCTTTGGTGCTAATTAGTAACTGTGGCTTAAATTTCCTTTTCTGATATTAAGGATTCATGTGGGAGTACAAGGTTTTCATTTTAGTTATTTTTCACTGAGCTCAGCAGTTGGCAGGCTGACAGCAGTAAAAATACATTTCACATAGCCAGTCAAAGGCCCAGAGCCAGCGGCAGGAAATCTGGAATTAAATGTTTCGTGTATCGGGGAGGCGGCATGACTAAGGTAAAACTGAATCAAAACACAAGCATGGCTTGTTCTAGGATTTTCTCCTCCTCGTCTGAAACGAGGGCCAGCAGGCTGCCGTTCCCTGCTGCTGCCGAGGTGGCCTTTGGGGGCAGCTGGAGAGGATCTGGGCAGGAACACGGGTTGTGAGACCTTGGGGAGCAGCACCGAGTCAAGCAACGTCAACAACTGCCGCTACACGTAGAGATTTCCGTCGGTTGTAATTTTCACTGAATGTTTTTTCAGTTATCCTGTCATGGTACAACACAATTACCCACAGGATATGATCTTATCATTTGATTATTAGAAGTTTTTATAGTGCAGGAGTAATAAAGCTAATACAGCTCTCGGAACATGTAAGCAGCCGTCTCACATGCCATGAAAGCAGCTGGCTTAGCCAATTTAAGGTCAATATTGCCCAACACCGGAAGAATGTGATCTGCTTTTAGCCAAATAGTTTAGCAGAATGCGACATGTCTGAAACCAGCACGCAATATTTTTTTTTTTGACAAATATTTGCAGCGCAGGTAAGATTTAATCAATCTTTGCGCAAGGAGAGGTAAAGTCGACTTCCAAAAAAACAGAGCTAGATACCGTGACTGTATCACACTTTGGAAACAACATCCACGTTTTGAGTCGCTTTGAACTGTGACTGTGTTTCACGGCAGGGGGGAAGAATCAAAGTATTAATAAAAAAGAAAAAGAGGGGGAATATTTTGTGGTCTAAAGAATATTTAGTTGTAAAGCCTGCAAAGAGACCAAATAAAAGGGTCTTTATCATGATCAAGATTCCAATATTAAGATTAATAAAATGTATTATTTATAAGTCAATTAACATAAATAGAATATGTAAGCACTAGTGTATTAAAAAATCTTTCCACAGGCAGCAGATTTTTAGCAGCATGAAGGTTTTTTTTTTTTTTTTCCTGGAATAATACAAGAATAACATTTTCCAGCCAAGAGCAGAAACAGTAGGGGAGTCTTTGCTATCACAGGGCTTCTTATTAAATTCAGTCACTGTGAAAAGCCAGTCTTTTTTTTTTTTTTTTTTAAATAAAGACAACTTAAAATCAATACAAGTTAGATTAACAAATCAGTACTATACTAATCCTGATTTATTACAATCGGCAATATGAAGTTTAATCACGTATAAACTGCTACTCAAGAAAAGATTTAGCTTTACAAAGTCTTGAATTAAATAATGGTGCAGAGTGTACCGAGTTTTCAGATCTGCATCATCTGATATTATGAAAAATTCAATGTACTTCTCTGCAGCAGATGTCAGAGGTCAGCAAATCTATTACAGTAATGTAAGTAATCTGGCTTTCTGCCAATCTTTTTTTAAAAAACACTGAAGCAGATAATTTTATATTTACAAATTCGAAAATCCTCCAGGGACTGCATCTCTCTCCCAACAGAAAGCAGAAACTTCACATAAGAGAAATGCATTTCACAGTATATCAAACATGGCTTCATCAGCAGCATTTCATAAAAAGAAAAAGAAAAGCACTCTTAATCTTTATTAGTCAACATTTTTTCCCAGCTACGGAACTAACAATACAAGATCTCATCTGTGCCAGTAACCACTACATTTTCATGTATTGATTATGCAGAACGAATGACTCTTTTGGCCAGACTCTGCTTCACAGGACACATGAGAGCATACCTATTTATAGACATGATAAAAAAAGTAGTTACAATAATGCAAAGGATCTGACCAGCCCAGAAACAGGAAGGAAATTAAATGTTAAGGCTGCCAGTTTCCTCTTTAATTCTCCCCACTGTGTATGGATATGACAGGGCTTTCAGGCTGGGGAGGAACCATATGCCCAGGACACACAGGGTACAGGAGGGAAGGGGGCAGTTCAGCACAATCCCCACAATAATCTTTATATCGCTTGTTTTTGTGTTTATTTTTGTTTTCTTTCTGGCAAAACAAAATATTCCAGTATGTCTCCCATTGACATCATCTTGATTTCTCAAGGGCTGCAAGTCCAACACGAAACTGTGTGCAATGGAGCCTCTCAGCCACAAGAATAATCTTGGAAGAACTTAAAATACAGAAGCTCATTCTTTGGGAGATGCTGACCCATTCCCATGCTTGGCCAGAAGGTTAAGAAGGTTGACTGCAATGGGAATGGAAAAAAAGATTTAAATCTGCTCCACCAAATGAATATAGCAACCAGTTAACCCATGGAACTCACTGCCAATGGATATCTTGGGGCCAAGGGATTAGGGAGATTATGCAAGGATTAGATGCTAATGTAAATCATGAGAACATTAAGCTCTTAGAGTTTCAAAAACACTGAAAAGGAACAGGCAATACATCTCTTTACTGGTAGGAGTTTGGAAAACACTTCCCTCCTGGGCACATTATGCCACAGTGGCTCTTGCTCCTTCCTCTGAAGTAACTGCTGGAGTTGGGGATGGGACAGCTGGTCTGCCTGGTTCAATAGGGCAACTGCCTGTTTCAATAGGTCCTCACAGTAGCTGGGCAGAAATGCCTGCATCCCCTGCAGCCAGAGGGTCTGAGTGCAGGGCTGGGATGAGAGGCTGCCGAGCTGGGGCAGCTCCAGGAACAGCCCCCACAGTGCAAAGAGGCCTGTATCGATAACCTTAGCGACAGAAACCTGATTCTTGTTCCCTGGAAACTCAGTGGATAAGCA